CATTACTACAATGAGGTCGCATTTATCTGCTCTGAACACACTATTGAGAGGACTTCTGCATACTGTAGTTTAAAAATACTGTTTCCACTATCAATGGTATTGTCTCAGTTAGGGGCCTAACTTAGACGTCATGGTAAACTATACCTAATGGTTTACTGTGAACCTTGTTTTTCTAGGCTCTTTGTTTTCTCCTTGCTAGCATATGGAGGAAAGAAACTGCAATCCTTGACATAATGTTATGACTGAACCAGGGATATTGGCTTGTTTTGCTCCAACAACCACGATTTATAAGGCAACAAATTGTGGTTACAGGCTATGGTTTCTTGGGAGTGAAACAAACCATAATCCCTGGTTCAGATTAAATACTATGCCAGAGATTGTGCTTTGTTTATTCCACATGCTAGCAAGGAAGAGAAGAACAGACAAGAAAGGTGTAATCACAGTATATCATTAACTATGGTTTACCATAGTTTGTGTGAACTAACCACAATTTAGGGGTGCTGTTTACAGCAGTAGTCACATATAACCCATAATGTCTGGTTTCAACCTAAGTATACAATTTTCTTCTGCCAAATGTTAGGATTTATGCAAAGGGTTTGTCTTAGATGAACCATATATGTTTGCCTGTTCACCTTTGAATAATGAGTTAAATGCTGAACAGCAATTCTTGGAAAAGGCTTATACTGGCATGTCACTGTATTATTTGGTAAATGTCAGAAAATGGCAGGTAATGACTTGTCTTGATAACATTGCATGTAAGACGCAGCAACATAAAATTGCTATTATCAATCCTTCATTTTTATTACTTGTTTGCACAGCTTCTAATCTTCAGTATACAGGAATGACCATTATGTAGATGCTATAGCAAGGTAATATAATACATCTGACAAATGATCCCCATATATATGTACAGTTACTTGATCCAACTGAAAATGACTAAAAAAGAGAGATTAAATAATGTAGCCTGTGAAGTCTTTCATTGACCTGGCTTGTTTGAAGAATTAGCTGAATAACAGATTCATTCTCTATCATAGGTGGCTTTCAAAGTGAAATTTAAACAATTGACATTCTAAAAAGGCTAAGCATTGCTGATGAGCAAACCAATATTAAACCAATATTTATTTGGTTTCTTAATAAGAAAGGTGCTAATTTTAATTTTATAAGCATACTTTTTGGAGATACAAAATGACCATCTCTCTCTTGGACTTTGGCTGCATTGGTATTCAGAGGTGCTTACCAATGTCATTTGTGATGCTCCACAAATGGTTAAGTAGGGGCTAAACAAAATAAGCTTAACAATTTTGAGCACAATCTACAATAGAGATCAACTGTACTTCTGCAGTTGACCTGAGAGAACGCAGTTGGGTTGGGGGAATGCTGTTGCGAACTGTTACTGCCTTAAAACCCTGTGCTGTCTTCTGGATATGTCTGCTCTCTTCTGCTCAACTTGTATATATGTATAAACAAGCAGATTTTACCAAGACATCTAAAGTTCTAGTATTTTGAGTATCTGTGAAAGGGTTAAAAGAGCTGCCCACAGGACTACAGCACTACTCATCGCCAGAAATCAGAGGAGAAGGAATAACTTATAAGAGCTGTGGTATGGATATGACCTAACTTTTTAATAAGCATTTACATAGCCTACTATGTGATTACCATGCTCTGCCAAGGGGGGTCAGGGTAAATTTCCTCAGCACATTATTAATATAAACTCATTATTTTGCTTTTCCCATTGCCATCTTTAATGTAATCATGGGACAGCAATATATCTACCATTAGTTCTGGACCCAGTTATTCTGGTCATACATTAGTACACTTATTCCTATTTTAGACTGAACTTTTCTTTAACAGAACAAAAATCTAAACAGATATAAAACTATGACATACTTGGTGCCCAGGTTTACCAAAGTCACTCACAAGACAAGATGCAACATAGGCTGCTTGTACATTTTACTATACAGTTGTAAAATACTACCATTCTGTTTATTTATTCCCCTCTCCCCATCTTGCCCCTATTTACTGTAACCCAATTACTTTTAAAATTTCTACTTTCTTTGATATATCCTAATGGTTTAAACAAAAAATAAATTAGCATATTCTTTTGTTATTTCTTTAAGTTCTTCTTCGGGGAATTTGTAATATAATCTGCATATATTAGCTGTTTTTATTAACTGGTTTTGTTCTACCATATGTGTGCACACATGCAAAGAATTTTAAACTTCTGTTCCAATGTCATTTTGTCACAAGTTGGTGGGTAAGCAAAGGGTCTAAGCCATGTGGAGTTATTTTGACTACTGGAAGCTGCATACAGTTCCCTTACTATTTCTAAATACAGTGGTACCTCAGGTTACATACCCTTCAGGTTACAGACTCCACTAACCCAGAAATAGTACCTCAGGTTAAGAACTTTGCTTCAGGACGAGAACAGAAATCGTGCTCCGGCGGTGCGGCAGCAGCAGGAGGCCCCATTAGCTAAAGTGGTGCTTCAGGTTAATAACGGACCTCTGGAACGAATTAAGTACTTAACCTGAGGTACCACTGTACTAAGCAGCAGCTGCCTTCAGAGTTGTTGTCTTCCCTCCATCTTCAAAGGTTAGAATTCTGCCACAATAGGCTAATATTCTCTTTATTCCCTGAAATCACATTCTCATAGCGATACATATACTCTAGGTGAAAAAGACTGGGATTGGAGGAAGTTTGTCACTAATGAAACACATGCTGTTTTCTTCTGGAGGGAAGATGGATATCAGCTAAGAATGCACCAGAAAGCTAGTTCTGAGCCTACGCAAGATCACCAGGGATAATATAATTAACAATACTAACAAGTAAAAATAATGCCTGGTTCCCTGTAACTTCACTTTTAGCAGTGAGGAAACTGCCAGAAGGCCCTTGGAGCTGGACATCAGTGTCCAAGCTAAATCATGGTGGCAGAGACGTTCCCTCAGGTATATAGGATTTCTTTTTTATTATGTTATGGATTTTGGTGTTTTACATTGTAACCCACCCTGTGATCTTTGGATGAAGGGTGGTACAGAATTTTAATTAATCATCACCATCATCTGGTTGGCCATTTTAAGAACAGAATGCTGGACTAGATGGCCACTGGTCTGATCTAAGCAGGCTTTTATATTTGGCATAGCGACATGTTCAGTATCTCCAACTCCTATAGCACACAGCTGAACACAAACCTGAGAAGTCCCATCTCCCTCAATCAATGGTGGTCAAACAAATATTTGATATTTTCCTGTGTTAATAAAGAAGGTGAAGTTTCAAGAAGCTAAAAAAATTGTTAAAGCTCACAGGATGCTTGAAGAATACCTTGAAGTAAGGTACTTAAAACCAAGTCACATTTTTATACACTATTTATTAGTCAATAAAAAAGGAAGTTGCTCTGATAATCATCAGGGCAGAATTCAAATATATTTTAGACATGGCTACATGGCATTTAAATGCTCGGTTTTCCCCATAGATAATGGCACACTTTTAATATATTGTTATTCTTAACAAAATCCAACACTGCTTTTGAAAGGGTATCTCACCATTTAATGTTTGCTATAAAAGAAACATTTAAGACTTTACAACCTTAAGCTGCAGAGGTTTTGCAATATCAGGATTTTGCACCTATAAAGGAAACAGTTATTGTGCACTGAACGTGATTGCTCTCATTCAAGTCAGCAAACACAGAAAGCCAGTCCAGGGCTGCTATTAGAAACTAAGGGTCTTTAACAGCACTGGACAACCTTGAAAAGAAATTATGATTAAGAACCTGATTTATCTGAGAGTCTGAATTGATGATCTGTTACATCAGCAAATAATTATTTATGATGAAGAGCAATGATTACTGAGCCAGCAAAGCACCACAAATTCTAATCTTCCACACTGATGTCACAAAGCAGCCTAGGAAGTCCACATATGCCCTTTTGGCAATTACTACCTAACACAATATAGTTATTGGCATAAGGCCAAAAACTGATGCTAGCCTATTCGGATTTCTGCTACCTTAGAATCATAGAATTGTAGAGTTGGAAGGGATCCTGAGGGTCATCAAGTCCAACCCCTTGCACTGCAGGAATCTGCAGCTGTCACATACGGGAATCAAACCTGCAGCCTTGGCATTATCATGAACTATGCTCTAACCAACTGAGCTATCCAAGACCTTGTTTAAATCAAAATGTAGGTGTGGGGGGGGGAGATACATGGAGCTACTGTGATCATCCATACTCCCCTCCCCATACTCCGTCGCGGAGGCGCTTCGCAAAACAAATTTCCCTATGGGGTTGCTTCGCAAGACGAAAAAATTTCTTTTACAAAGAAAGCAAACACCTGAATGAGGCTATGCTGTGTCATAATATCATACAGATATAGCAAATGTGAAGGCAGACACTGGCAAAGTCCTGCACACTGAAGGCATTAGACATTTAGACTATGGAGTCACCTACATTTTTACACACCAACATTACTATGATTATATGATCTTTTTTCATCATGGGAACGACAATTAAATGGTGGCATATAATTGAACACTCCACCCCACTAGACACACAGCAATTCTATTAAAACACTATACAGTGGTGCCCCGCAAGACGAACGCCTCGCAAGACGGAAAACCCGCTAGACGAAAGGGCTTTCCGTCGCGGAGGCGCTTCGCAAAACGAATTTCCCTATGGGGTTGCTTCGCAAGACGAAAAAATCTTGCGTGTCCCCGCGGGTTTTTTCCGCCCCCCCCTTTTCCTAAGCCGCTAAGCCGCCTATCAGCTGTTCCGCTGATAACCCACTTAACAGCTGATCGTGAAAAGCCGCTAGACCGCTGTAGCGCTAATCCGTTAAGCTGTCAATGGGCTTGCTTCGCAAGACGAAAAAACCGCTAGACGAAGAGAATGGCGGAACGGATTCTTTTCGTCTTGCGAGGCACCACTGTAATGAGTTGAAGAGTTGGCATAAATTTATATTCTGCTTTCATGGCTAACATTTGCATTATTTGCTCTGTTATTATCACTTACCTATCAGGCCTTTCTCAAGTGTGAAGGTTTTGTTGGTGAACATGCATTCAAAAGCCACGATATGGAAAACTTTGTTCACTGTGTTGTGTGTTCCAACTATTCTGATGTACCTACAAGGGAAGAAATAATGCAGAAGTTAAGAAAATGTGGAAAGTCTACGTCACGCCTTGGAATAACATTTATGCTAGAAGTAACTATGTTAAGGATCAGTTTTAATTATCTCCTCTGGGTGAAGGCACCTTTATTTGGGGCCTAATGCAATTCTCAATCCCCAGAGGTTTGCTGAAAAAATAGATTTGGGGTAGAAAATATCCCACCAAGTGGAAAGCAGTCTAACACCCAACCCAGAACCGCCTGACAGTAGCAAGCACAAAGATGGCAGACCAAAGACTTGTCACACGTTATATCTAGTACCTGCACTAAAGTGGTATTAGCAGAGATATAAATGAGGGGTTAGGGGGAGAAGTAGCTGGAGCCTTTTTTTCCATGCAACCTCAATAATTGTAGCAGGCTTATTCTTTAAAAAAAATACACAACATGATTGTATTTGATTTCCAAGCAAACAAAAACTGAAGGCTATTTAATTCAACACCATTAACATGTCCATTATACAGCCACACTTCAAAACTACAAAAACCCCTACAAAACCCAGGCTTCCATTTTTCACTGAAGACATATTATTCAGTAGGTTTTCATCATAATGAAAGGTTTTATACATCAAAGACAAACTCAATAAATCAATCCTCCTCACCTGCAAAAATGAACCTCTGTCTTTTGTCATGCCCTTATTCACATTCCACATTATCACTTGAAACACACAATGGCTTCTATGGTTTGAATCCAGTTCCATGTATGAGTAGAAAACTCTTTTGTTCACAGAGGGGGGGATTGCTGCCACCCCACCCAACCTCAACTAGAAACATTGTATCTTGCTTTGGTGGTGGATGGGGGGGAGGGCTCCCAAACTTCAGGAGCGGATTTTATAGTGTTCAGAAAAAGTGCAGGCTGGAATATGTTGGAAAATACACACATGATCCTTTGGATCTCAGCCCTTGCTGTTAAACTCTTACTTAAAGTTATTTGAGCATTTTTTTGTTTAACAAAGATACCTGTGAACTTCACTCCTGGCTGCACAGCTTGCAATTCTTAATACTTCGGCAAAGTCAGATGGAACACTTCTTGCTAACAGTGGCCTATTCACCCTTTGTATTACCTCTGAGACATCACCTTCTATAAACAAGCATTAACCTTGAATCAATCTGTTCCCCTCATTCTCTAAAGGGAGAGCGAGAGTTCAGAGGTTAATGAACAGCTGAAGCTACTAATAAAAAGTTCTGGAAAATCCCAAGTGGAGTACAACATGCCATCTCTGCTGAGCTGGAAAAGATAACTAACAAAAATCATTTGAATAGAATATCCTGTCATCCAAAGTGAAAGAAGAAGCATTATTAAATTAACAAGTTTCTATTCATCAAATGTGACATGTTAAGAGCAATTTTTCAGCTCTTCCACATAATCCCCCATTAAAGATGATATAACTTTTAACTTCAGTGCTGTTTATCATGCTACCAATGTTTAAAACCTTAGCTTAACTAAAAATGAAATCTTCTGATGGAAATTTAGGAGGTTTTCAGCCACACTTTTATCTACTGGGTTTTCTGTGGGTATTTGGGGACATTTTCTAGACTCCGTAACATTTTAAAAGTGAGTGATAGGGAGAGATAGCTTGAGATACGCTACTCTATTTTATAAAATTTTACTCTCATCAATTAGCAAGTTCTGCAACTGGAATGGAAAATATATATTTTCAAAATTCACCAGCTTTATATTTTCACTGTGGCCTTCCTGTGTCCATTGTGAAGCTGACTGTGATTTTGTTTTGCTCCTTTTCTTTTAGTCATCACTACTCGGGTTTAAGAAAACACACCATTAACTCTGCTTACCACCAAGTTTATTTCATGCATTTATTTAAACTATTCATATACCATGGTCTCCAAGCAGTGAATCTCTAATTTATCAGTTTTGTTTTAATTATCTTTGAGGAAGCTTGAATCATTTGTTTCTGTGGCACGGTTTCAACTCCCAATGAAATTATTCCTTTTTTGCTCCAAAGACTAAACACATTATGGCAAAAATTGCATTTTTATATACAGTTTGGATGCAAAGGAATACAGCAAGAGCTTTGGGAAAACTTTGAAGAAGCAAAGTCCAAATTCAGAAAAAAATCAAATTAATAAATTATTCTTACAGTAAATTTTCTAGGCTGCCATTCCAAAGGGAAATTACTCAAGGTGGAATACAAGATCCATGCCTGACAGAACATTCAAACTCTGCAATGCACATGGCTATCATTAGGTTAAGTAAAGGTAAAGGTACCCCGTTACTTTCAGCCAAATCCAAACCAGTTTACTCTCCTGTATTTCAATGGCACCCAAATGGCTTAAATACACTGCTTTGTATTTTAATATTTTGTTGGAGTGGCTGGGGAAACCCAGCCAGATGGGCAGGGTATAAATAAATTATTGTTGTTGTTGTTGTTGTCATCATTATTATTAAATAAATTGTGATCCAATGTCACTTCTCTTTTAGGAATTGAACAGGCACAGTTCTTACAAACCATAGATGAAGAGCTAGATCTATGTCTTGTCTGTACCACCTCAAGCTGCAGCAGAGAAATTATATTATGGAATACTTACCTATGAAAAAAATATTTTTTATGCTCAGAGCGCTAGCATACGAGGCAAGAAGAGTGGAAAAGCACGCAAGTCCCTCTAGCTGTCTAACCTGTAGTTTTGGTTGTGCATCTGTTGCGGGCCAAAGCTCCCCCTAGACCTGCTGCTGTTAGGAGCAGACTCACTGTAGGAGGGAGGTCTGGCAGAGGATGTCTTGCCCAAAGGCCCTCCAAAATCTACAGCCAGCTTTATATAGAAGGTTTGCTTTCACAAGTTGTCTGAAAGTATCTTTTTTATATCAAATGACTGAAACTCGGGATATGACATGCAATGGCACTCCAACAGAGAAAGTATGTGGGGTCTTGCAATAGTGATCAGGGACAGGCAACAGAGGCGTATTTAGGGGACCACAATCAGTTCAGTTGCAGTGAGTGCGGAGCATCGGGGGCACAGTACAGGATACCACAACTATTATTTAGAATGGAGCATGAGATTGGGGGGGGGGGGGTTGGCGTTGCTGAGACCCCAAGCTCCACCACTGCAGGGATCCACCAGCCTGCAGGCCTTATCCAACCTATCAAGCATTTCAGAATGGCACGTTAGCCCCCAGACCCATTTCACTGATGGCAGCATCACTGCCACCAAAAAGAAGAACCAAACTGCTGAACAAAGTGGGGGCCACTAGGTATCTTTCCTATTGGTGTTCTAGTCCCCACCTGTATTTTGGCTGCAGCAGGGTACAGCTGGGTCCATTTGGACCCTTTCTGAATGTCCTAATGTTTTACTTCTGGTGTTTTGGGGTATCAGGGCAAGCTGGCAGTCAACACAGGGAGCGATTTCTGCTTGGCTCCTGCTCATATTCTTCTCCCTACAATGAGAAATGGTCTTCTCAAGTGTATAAAAGGAACTGCAGAGAGCACACAGTGAGAGAAGGAAAAAAGGGCAGAGTGTGTGAGTGAGAATGTGGACAGGTAGGCCTGCTCACCACTAACATGCAACCCTCAGTGGTTTGGACATGAGGGAATGTGGCCCTTGAGTTTTAAAAGGTTTCCCAACCCTATTTTGTATACTATTAGTGCATTCTATATTTATATCAATATCTATGTACTTCTACTTGTTTCAAGTAATATACAACAGAATAATGAGTTCCTTGTTTCATTTTACATATTAAAAGGACTTGTGAAATAGAAGGTACACACACATATGCACAGAGACTGAAGTAGGAGATGAGGCTGATGGTAGGTAGTACAATAAGAAATACCTGTAATTATACTTTATTATATTGTCATTTATAAAACACCTCAAGTAGCTAGGTGATGACCAAAGGAAAGATAAATAAGTTCTGTCCTCTGGCTATAGGAATATTTTAATTAGATAGTCATGACACAGTTGTGTAATTCAGAAGTATGGCTCCATTAAGTGAGATCTAAAAGATCTAAAAGATGTGGACTTGAGAAATTAAGGAACCCAGAGAAACATTCCTCTACCCTGAAGCATTGCCCCAAGAGGCAGCACTTGATAAATTACTGTCTACAAGGATTACTGTCAGACAACAAATAATAAAGTAGCTTAATAGCAATTGTATGGTTATAGGAAACAGTGTAAGAAGACCTAATTGGTTTAAAGCCTTCTGTTCCAGGTCATGGCACAGGGCCAATGACAGCTCATGTCACACTTCATAAAAATCGTATCTGAATGGAAGGCCAAAATTTTAGATGTGTGCCTCTCCCTGCCCCCTACCAATGTTTCCCTTTAAAAGTCATTTTTAAAATGCAAAGTCAGCCCGATCCTCCAAACTGATAAGGGCACAGCAGACAACCGTCTTTATCCAAACTCTCAGGGGGTACTGCTAGAAAGAGAGTGTGGTTATTTTTCAGTATCTCTAAGGTCCTCCAGCGCAACTCAAGCAGATGGAAGATAATTAAACCTTAAACAGGGCTGAAGATGGCAGATACACAACAGATTGTCCACCTCTGATGAGAATCAAAGTTTTGGCAAGAGTACTAAAGCAACCTATCTACGATTTCCAGTTTCAGTCATTTTCCTTCAACAGTGCTGCAGCAATCGGGTTTGTTTTCATACATGTGTTTCAGAGTTATGAAGGAATGGTAATGGTAACAAGTGAACATTTACTGTTGCTTTTCAAATGAAGGAAGATTAGGATGATTAATACATGCACTTTTCTTGCAAAATACATTTAATTTGCTTCATTGCTGTCCATCAGCAAATTATTCATTATCTCATACATATTCAAACTCTATCCCATACTTAGGGAACCATTAGAAGTCCTACTCTAATGCTCTAATCCTAAACAAACATGCTAGGGAGTAAGTTTGTTGAAGAAAGTGGGATTTACTTCCAACTAAAGCATGCATGGGATTACACTGCAAGATTGTGTATGGGGCTTGTATTCATTTTTAGGTTAAAGAGTTTGTACT